AGAGTGAGAGATAGAGAGAGAGAGAGAGAGAGAGATAGAGAGAGAGAGAGAGAGAGAGAGAGAGAGAGAGAGAGAGTATCATGTATGTATGTCTGTATGTGTGTGTGTTAATTTGTTTTACACAATTTATTGTTTTCTTGGGGTGGGGGAGTGATAATTGTGAGTGATTCAAACTCATTATCATAAAGTGCCATAACGGTATTCGAAATAAACATCGGCGATCATGGTCCGCCATTCACTTCTTTACTGGGACGCACTCAAAAATTAATTATCATGGTCTTTTTCTTGTTACCCAGATGCTATGTGTATATATATTATTATTTGCGATAACTGTAACAACCAGGAGGAGACAACGAGGAAGAAGAGTTACGTTGCAGTTGTAATTTACATCGAGTCTACACGAATTCACAAGGAGGCAGGCAGACAGACTATAACATTTACATGTAGAGTGAATCTGATAATCTGCTTGTGCAGACATACTGCAGAATCCAAACACTCGTCAGTGCTACCATAAGATCTGAACGTTTAAATTCCAGACAAAAAAATAATTACAATATTAAACAGAAACTGCTCAAAATAATAAATTAACTACTATAAATAGCGTTAAAAATATTTTTATTACCGAGAAATCGTGATACTAGAGGGTAATGTATAGACCCCATGCATTTACGAGTGCCGTAAAACTCTTACCAAATTGAATAGAAAACCCCCCCCAGTTAAAACAATTACGTCATAGTTATCGTTCCTTTGTAGGAGATATAGTTATAATATAGCTTCAAAAAGTATTCATTTTTTAGAGGAGTTGTTTATCAGGCTGGGAAAAATGAAATGAAAGAACAAAAGGAAATCGATGATGGTCATTCAGAAGCTGGTCAGATGGCAGCTGGAGGAGGAACATGACCAATGATCCTCTTCCTACATTCTGAATCACAAACTGACCCATTGTCGGGCCTAAGGAGATAATTAATAGTTTGAGTACTGCAAACTGCTGAAGAACATCACTGATAGCCTATAGCTTACAAGTACATGTCCTTCTAATTGCTTTATTTATATTATAATATAATCCAAAATGACTCGTATGATAAGGCCCTAAGCTGTAAGAGCAAACCTTAAGTTACAGGAAGTTTAAGTGTCGACTCTAGCATGCACTTTCTGGCCGCCTAAACAACCCCCAACTCCCCTCCAACAAACAAACAACAACAACAACGACAACAACAACAACATGATCTCCATCAACATCATCCTCAAATTCAGCCATTACAACTGCCTTCATCATCACCTCAACCATCAACACCCCCCCCCTCATCATCATCATCATCATCATCATCCTCATCCCAACCACCACCATCATAATCATCATCATTGTTTGGTAAGCAGGGTAGGAAGGGGAGTCTTGTTTTAATTTTAAACAAAAATGAAATAACAATATAAAATGTTTAAATTTGTTTAATAGCTCAACGTTTCGCCCCGTGGGATTCCTCAGGAGCAGGAGCAACTGAGAGAAAAACTAAATGAGCGCTGTATACTAACAGGGAAATGGGCCTAACAAAGGGGGTCTTAGGCAGAGCTGGTAGTAACGGAGTACAAGTACTCCGGTACTTGTACTTACGTTACAATTTTCGGTACTTTTACTGTACTCCGG